GCACAATACCAGTCTCTTCCCAGGGCCAAACAATGGCTCCAAGCCCCAGCTGGCCCCAAGGGCGAGGCAAATGCTGAGCAGCAAGAACCTCTATGGGGATGGTTCTCGAACGCCCCAGGGAAGATAACCCTGTCACGCAGGGGCAGTACTAACAGGGCGCTTAGGGAAGGAAGCCCCTAAGCGCATGCAGCCCTGGCACTGATGAGGTACTCCTGGCCACCGCACAACACAACACATGGCAGTGAACGCCACACAAGGCAAACACCGCCTAGGAAACTGAGGCCAGAGAAGCGTCTATCCCGGTTGACATTAGCTTACGAACTGATGCTAGGCAGCCAGCGCAGTAGGTCCGAGGCTTTCCCCCTCCCCCTCTTGGGGCGGGAAGGGCTGCGCGGATGATTGGCGCGGCAGTAAAGTGTGATGTTTGCTTGTTTCCTTGGGCTTGTAGGGAGTTTCTACCTTTCTGTTCGTTTTTTGTTTTAGTTTTTACCATGTGGGGTTTGTTTTGTTATGCCTACCTTTCTGGGTGCCTAACCCTAGTCGATGGCAGATAAGGAAAACCCAAACCACAAGGGGGGTTTTCCAGGGCCATTGATCCCTGAAACCTCTCTGAAGGGGCCAGGTTCTGGCGCTGGTCCCTGGTAGGTCTGAACTCCTTAGTTAACCAGTCTCCGTGGTGTAGTGGTAAGATACTCGCCTGGCGTTCCGCGAGCGCTTTGTCATGGGTTCGTATCCTGGCCGGGGAGGATTTACTGGGCGCAAATCCTTAACTGTAGCCTCTGTTTAACTCAACAGTAAAATGTGTACTTTGTTGTAACAACGATTCTTCGCAGCGGGGATCGTATTCCAGGGACTTGCCCGAAATGCTACGCGTACTAGTGGCTGTACAAGAATGTAACAACTCTTGTATATATCTAAAAAAAAAAATAATAATGTCCCGGTCTAATATAACATGCATTAATCCGATAAGCTCCAGGGAGCCGTAGGGCCTCCCCACAGAAAAAAATTGAGTCCCAAGTTCTGCGAGTTGTGACTGATTTATTTGTTGACTAATTTCATTCTATCTTCACATAGTTAGGGAATGGTATGTGCTCTCCAGAATGTAAAGGTTACAACAAAATCAGATAATAAACAAAGAAAAAAAAGCTAAAAACTTAAAAAAAAATTCCCCTAAAAAAAATTTGGGCATTGATGAAAGTAAAAGATATTAACATTGGGCAATGTATTTATATGATAATAACAAAATAGAGCAAAATAACATACTTACTCATTATTATTATTTGTGTTATTATTTATTACATGTACTCAGCAATGCTATAAAAGCACCAGCTGCATATCCACTTTGTGGACACTTCTTTTAACTATTCTTCTACTTTGTGCATTGGACAGGTGCTTGCATCTCCTTATTACTGCATTATCCGTAAGTTCCAGTTAATAGGAGCTGTACTCCTTATCAAGAAACTTTCTTCTTCTTTTTAAAAAAATTTGTCTAAAATCAATTTCTGAAAATATTTTGAGAAAGTTTCATGACGCTGAAGCCAATAAGTTGGAAATTTGTTTAAAATTGTTAAGTAATTTTTACATAATTCAAATATTTTTTGCTTCCCTGCCCCATTTGCTGAGCAATTTAAGTGTTAATCAAAGCCCAAGTGATATTTCTATTTATTTAGTTTTATGTTACACTTAACCCTTGTGTGGCTCCGGCCTATTTAGCATTTGTCACCCACAGGCGCATACCAAAAAAAAAAAAAAAAACTCTTCTTCCTAACCTGTTAAGTCGTGTTCCCTGACCATGGGAAAAATAAAAAAAAAATCAATTGTACTTACTGGCAACGTTATTGAGCCGACAAGATGGGCGATGATGTCACTATTTGTATGTTCGCTCATGCACTGTGCGTCCCAGACGCGTTGCGCACAGTCTTCAAGCAGCCAGAGTTGCCACGAATTTATTTTCACGTCATTATTTACAGTGTCTAGGCCTATTTTATTAGCATTATTAATCACTAATTGTGTTGCACATAATGTTACATCACAGTCATTGTCAATAAATGTTGCATACATCGAGTATACACATGCGCACACAAATATTTTCCATTATGCGATTATATTATGTAATCACAATGTTCATTATTATATGTACACACAAGCATGCACTATGTACAGTTTTTTGCACTATTATTGCACATTTAGATTTCTTGGAGTGAGTGATAGTCGTTGAAGCAGTCGACAGCACACAATGGAACTGCACACGCTTCACACCATGTTTGCACCATTTTACATTTCTGTTCTCTCCTTTTTGTTGTTTTACATACTAGGCATTCACGTTGGCCTATTGCATGCTATCCAACTGGTGGCAAATTTTTTAGTCTGTGTTGCTGAAAGGCATCTATGTGAGAGAGCCTGGATGTTGCAGCATGCTGCAACACTGGGTTCATGATTGGTCTTTGTATGCCAGAGACATCTTTACCAAACTTTGCTAATAACTGTGTTGCAAGTGTAAAAGCAAATGCACGGAAAGTAGGTTTACGTTCAGTTTTCACCAGATACATATTATAGCAGTTCAACATGCTCATGCCAACAGGATGGAAAAACACTTTTTTCGTCCATTTCAATGTTTTCCGCACACACTCGATAGTGCCAACCATCATGTCAGCCTTATCAATCAAATGCATGTTGATATTGTAGTCAAGAACACAATCTGTCTTATATATTGGTTCTTTTGTTACACGGTTCACCATTGTACCCTCATGAACGGTTGTCAGCAGGTTCACTTCTCTCTTCTCTTTCCACCGTACCGAGAGTATTTGATCACATTTCCGTAGCTGGCACTCACCAACTGCAAGTCCACCATCAAACACTGGCATTTCCCTACTTCGTGCCTTTGCTGTACCAACCAATCCGGTTCTATTTTCAATCAAGATCCTAGCTAGCAATGGACTTGTATAGTAATTATCTGTGTATAAGATGTGGCCCTTGTTCATCCATGGTGCCATCAGTGACTTCACCACATTACCCAAGAAACCATGTTCGTCGTTACCGGGAATGTCTACATCGCTACCTGAATACAGAATCATGTGTAACACGTATCCTGTTTCACAGTCACATAGTACAAAGAATTTCAATCCAAATCTGTTTCGTTTGAGGGAATATACTGCATGAATGAAACACGGCCTTTGAAAAGTACAAGGGATTTGTCAATCACCGGCTTCTGTGCTGGTACGTAAAAATCTCTGAACTTTCCAATCACTTCATTCATATAGTGCCTCAGTCGCCAAAGTCTATCATCCTCTGTCCAATCCTCATTAATTGCAAAATGCAAACACCTGAGGAGTATCTGAAATCTGTCTCGGGACGTATATTTCCCAAAGAAAGGTGTTGGAATAGTCAGACCTTTGCTCCAGTAATCTGTGATAGCGTGTTTGACACAGTGCTTCATCAACATACATATTGCTAAAAACACATACATTTCACCTACAGTGGTGGTTTTCCAACGTTGCAATCATGAAAATTCTGTTATCTCTCTTCTAATGAGATGAGCCGCATGAAGGTTTGTTTGGTGCACAATATATTCCATGAGCGGCTCATCATAGAATGCTGTAAAATAATCCAATTCACTCATATCCTCTCCATTATCAGGGAAAAGCTCAGTAATCCCAACGTCTTTATTGTCAAAGGCAGGAATTCGAGGAATAAAACCAGCACCATCACTCCACACTATTACACCTGGTGTCCTGCGAGACGCTGGGGACGCAACAGGGGCATGATGGCGAGGAAGCGATGCACACTGTGGATACGATGCACAGTACAACCGCTACATGCACGTGAGGTGAAAGCACGTGAACATGAGGTTCTTGGTGCCTCATGTTGTTCCATGCGGTGGCGCTTGGCTGGGCGAGACGCTGCTGACGCAACAAATTCTTGCCCAGTAACACCACTGGTACTGGCACCAGGCTCGGTAACACTATGTTCTGATTCCACTTCACTAAAACCAGAAAAAGAGTCACCTTTCTCTGACTCATCACCGAAAATATTCTCAGACTCTAAATAAGCACATAAGCAGGGTGAATTGGAGTAGACACTTTGCAAGGTGGCATGGGTGAGTGTATAGGCTTCGCCATGGGAGGCGGCTGTATCTCATTTTCACTGTCCGTGCTATCATCATCGGTCAATTGTGTGTAGTCTTTATCAATGTCAGAGTCATCAAAATCACTTTCCTCACCATCAGAAAATAATTCACTGGTTATTTGCTCATGGGTGAGTGATTGCGTGGTGCGCGCCTGGGAAGCGTTCGGCCGTGTGCTCGACATGGTGGCTGCTGGATAACTGATGCCTCCCACGCGATGATAGCATGAGCTGGATTTTTTTTACAAAATGGAGGCTGTTTACTATAGCCCCTGGGCAGTGTATGGAGGCCCCCCTCTATCCTGCGGGCCTTTCAAATCTTGCGCGGTACTCCAATACATCATATGATGTGGAGCGCAATTTACTGCAAGTCACTCAACACATCATATGATGTGTTGTGCAATTAAAGGGTTAAAGCAATAGAGTTTTGTTTGATGGGAGTAGCTGATGACCATTGCTGGTATACAACTGGTCCTAGACAACTGGTGACTTTACCTTACTGTTCTGTTTTAACACTATAATTTTGATCCTGTATCCTCCAACTTAGAAAATGTTTTATTATTCATAATAATTGAGCTACAGAATGAAAAGCTATTGAAATTTTTTTTTAGGCAATTGTCTTCATGAAATATATTACATGAAGACAGTTCCCCCCCCCCCCTCAAAAAAAAAATCATGAGGTGGCATCTGTAGTTCTTTCTGTAAAACTCACTAGATAAATACACAATACTGCTGACTAGAATAAAAGAGTGTATACAGTATTGTTAAATGAGGTTAAGTGAATCTGAATAGGAGTCATATCATACTAAACAAAAAACTAGATTTAGGAACCAGACATATTTATGCTACAATGTATATTTATTTGCTTTCACTTACAGGTTTTTGGCAAGATTGCATTTGACTACACAACACAGATTCATCGCCATAACAATTTTCAAACCTTCTTCCAAGCAGTAATGGTTCTCTTTAGATCAGCAACAGGCAAGTTGAAATAACTTTTAATACAAACAAAACTTATGCAATATTTATCAGTTATATACTGAATACAATTCAGAGTATACAATTCTCAGGGTTGATGAATGAATAATAAGTTTTAATTTTCCTAGCAGATACCCTCAGCCTAGATCTCTGCTCCTTCTCCAAACTCAATATACTCCTTAACACTTTACTTGAACTTAACTTTTTACCTGAGGGACACTAATATTCTATTAATTATAATTTCTTATTTTCATTGCGCTTCTGTCCAATTAGCTCTGTTAACCATGTTTTTACCTTTTTTCATGTTAGAGAGAGAAAGAGTACATGTAAAGATTAGACAATTGGAAGATCTATGCTGAGGGTATCTGCTAGGAAAATTAAATCATTATTGGAAAGGCTATAGATCCAATCTGTGTAGATGAGATCTGGATGAAAATGCAGGTCTTCTCATTTTTGCACTTATTGGCTTTTGATTTAACTATTAGCAAAAATAAAGACAAGTGAATTAACCTCATCTATCATCAATGCCACCTCTGCCTCTCATGTTAACACTATCACCATATCTTCCTCCTCTGCTCAGTACAGCATCATGTGCTTTTTATGTCAGCCTAAACTTATTACTTCCTGAACTCAGTATACTCTATGACCTCAATATACTCCTTAACCACTGCACTGCTCTGCATTAACCCCCAACCTGCTCTGGGCTATTTGGCCTTTGTTACCCACAGGCACATAAAAAAAATTATATTATAAACCAGTTAATTTGTGTTCCATGATCACAGGAAAAATAATAAAAAAATCCTAAGTGGCATATTTTGGACGCAATAGGGCGGGGAAACCTGGTAAAAAAAAAAAGAAGCGTTGACTCAGCAAGCATTGGAGGTGTTTTGCTTCGCCCCAGCTGTTATGCGGGAGTTGCCACAAAGATATAATTACCTAATTATTTCAATGTCTCTGAGTGATTTTTCTTTTTTTTTTGCTGTAATGTTATTTAGTAGTGTGTAGTGTGATATATTTATATAATAAAATTTGTGAATCATCACTGTACTCAAAATTATTGTGTGCATATTATTGATTCAATTATTATGTTCATAAAATAATAAACAAATACTTTGTCGGTTATTACATTATATACTTTTTACCTGAGGGCCACTAATACTCTATTAACACTTTGGTGTACCCCGCGTGCCACCCCTCAACTGTGCGATATGGGTCCCAGGGTGTCACGGGAGCGCGCGTAAATTCTGAAAAGTGTATACTCTCTTCAACTTTGTCACCTTAATTCTCGTCCTACAAGATTAAATTTGGTATCATTGTGTTCGCAATAGAATTCTCTACAGCACTAAATGCATATAAACTCCAAAAGCCCAGCTAATTACCAGCAGCAAACAGAGAAAGTGCGAACAAGTTACCCAGGAGCGCGCAAATGCGATAAAATGTTTTCACTATTTTCACTCTGGTCACCTCAATTTTCGTCCTAGGTCTTTCATTTTGGTCTCAATGGGTTCGTAGTAAAATTCTCTAGAGGAACATTAGCATATAAAATATAAAACCTGGTCATGCTCCAACCACCAACGAGTTGAAGACGGGCCACGCGTTAGCCGCAAGTGAGCGCTCAGACGCCTTCCAGCTACACTCCCAATTCCCGCCCTTTTCAAGCCTTTCTTTCGCAATTTTCTTCCTGGAAGGGCCTTGTTCATGATCACTATCCATCGTGGAGTAAGCGTAGATAGTTTCTAAAGCTGCAGTAAGAAATATAGCCACGGAAAATAGCCGAAATGTTCACACGTTTGAGATGCGAGGGGAGGCGACATTGGTCCGAACAGTGGAGCGAAACAATGGGCCCACGGCGTGTGCCAAGCCGCCTGAGGGCCACGAGGCTCAACAAAGAAAATGGGAAGACATCGGCGTGCATTTTAAAACCAGTCCCCAAAAAATCGGATAAAAACCTGATTTTTGGCGATTATTTAAAGTGGATGACGCAATGCTGCGTCATCCCCGGCATTACCAACAGTAAACAGATGACGCAATGCTGCGTCATGCCCGGGCAAAAGTGTTAATTATAATTTCTTATTTTCATTGCTCTTCTATCCAATTAGCTCTGTTAACCATGTTTTTACCTTTTTTCATGTTAGAGAGAGAAAGAGTACAATATAGTGACCAGCATTGTGATAATAGCAGGATTGAGGTGATAAATAGCGCTGTACGTAGTATTGTGGGAGGAGGAAGTTTGGGGAGGTAGGGAGAGAGGGAATCCATGTAGCGGCATTGTGTGTGGCAGCCACTCTTGTTTTGCTCAACATACTAGCTAAGTGGTTTGCTATGGTGAACACATATGTACATAGGTATATACTATGTGTGTATATAGTGTAATAACAGCAACAGGAGTATGTTGGGAGGAGCCATTTTGGCGAGGGAGGTGGCGTCGTGATCGTAGTGTCATCTGCTGGCTTCTGTGTGATTTCTCATGCAGTATATGCTGGCCACTGTGCTGTTTGGACACAATACTAGCTTACATGCATAGTTATGGTGAATAAAACATGTAGATACGTATACATAACGTGTGTAAATAGTGTAATAAAAGAATATCAGTATGGTGGGAGGAGGAATGTTGGCGAGTAAGGAGAAAGATAGGTGTTGGAGGGGTGAGGAAGGGCTGGCTGGGTGTGGCAGTGACACTCGCGGAGATCTGAGTGTGTTGATGGTGAATGTATATAGTGTGTGATAGTGTATAGTGTGTAAATATGTTGTAAATATACATAAATGAACATGAAACATTGGATATGTGAGCAATATATGTGGACACATTTAAGAAACATATAACACAGTGTTTTGAGACAGTACAGATCTTCTACTGTCATAATATTGTGTGCATGTTCATTATACATAGCATTGGCAAGAAAAAACAAAACAAATGTATGTGGAAATGAACACAAAAAATTAACAAAAAAATATTTGTGGCAACTCGCGCATGTTGAAGCTGGCGGGCGACTGGCTTCAGGGGTCTACATCACAGGTGACCACCCAACACTGCATATGCAGTTTTGGAGTACTATGCAAGATTTAAACGACCCGCAGATACATGGGGTTCACATCACCTTCCTCAGGGCTCTTGTAAACAGACTCCATTTTTTAAAAAATTGAGGGCAACATTCCCAGATGTGAGAGCCTCAGTACTGAGTGAGCCACCAAGGTTGGCGCATGCAGCATAAGCTCACAGCATTGCTGTTCAGCTTGTGACCACAGCATTGCCTAAAAATGCCAAAAATGTATGTAACTAGTATTATTTAGTGATGAATGTATTACAGAAGACCCCTGACTGATATAAATGACCAGGATTCTGATAATAGCAGGATTGTTGTGATAATTAGCGCTGTAGTGGGAGGAGTAATCTTTGTGGGGGAGGAAGATAGCGTTGCCTGCTGAATCTGTGTGACCACCTTTTACTGTCTGGACTCACTATACCAGCTTAATGGTTTGCTATAGTGAACAAAACATGCAGATACTTATATATATATAACGTCTGTATTTGGTGAATAAAAGTGAAAACAGTATAATGGGAGGAGAATGTTGGCTAGTCAGGTGAGGTGAGGGAGGGAGAGAGTGACAGTCAGTGGCAGCCAGTGGCAGCCCGCCACTGGCTGCCACTGCCACTCAGCGTACCAACTTGGTGGTTCGTTAGGGTGAACACAAATGTAGATACTTATATATTACATGTATACAGTATATAGTGTAATAACAGCAAAAGGAGTGTTGGGAGAAGCCATTTTGGTGAGGAAGGTGGCGACATCTGTATGACTTTTCATGCTGGGGAAGGTAAGGGTGGCCACTATGCTCTTTGGGCACTGTACCAGCTTAATTGAACAGTTATGGTGAACAAAACCTATAGATACAGTACTTATATATAATGTGTGTATATAGGGTAATAACACCACAAACGATATACTTGAAGGAGGAATGTTAGTGCATCTGGCCTTGAACCAGTGAGGAAGGGAGCATTAGTTGTGTGTGGCCACCTGTTACTGTCTGCCGTCACCATACAAGATTATTGGTTTGTTATGGTGAACATAAATGTAGATACATATATATATTGTGTACATATAGTGTAATAACAGCAGGAGTGTTGGGAGAAGCCATTTTGGTGAGGGAGGTGGTGTCATCTTCCTGACTTGTCATGCTGTCTAAGGGTGGCCACTATGCTCTTTTTGCACTATACCAGCTTAGATGAACAGAACATGTAGATACTTATATATAATGTCTTGATATAGTGAATAAAAGCAAAAACAGTTTTTTGGGATTAGGATATGGGCGAGTGAGGAGTCATTGAGGGAGGAAGTGGCAGCGAGAGGCTGGCTGGCAGATGTGGTGGCCCCTCCTCATTGCTTTTTGACTCCCAATATTAACTTAGTGGTTCGTTATGGTCACTGGGCGCGAGGCACTGGTAAACTGAGTGGCGATCGCCGTGTCACCACAAGCTAGTCGGCCTGTACGCGTATCAACATCCTCGTATCCTGAGGCAACCCTCATATCCCTATTCAAAATTTCCAAGCAAATCCTGCTCGTCACCTGAAAAACTTGTAACCAGGGGCGCTCGTAAGCCGAGGTACCACTGTATACACAGGTTATATATAAGTATCTGCATATTTTGTTCACCAAAATGAACCACTTAAGTTGGTATGGTGTCACAGCAACGACGAGTGGCTGCCACACTCTAGCCAGTCAATGCCAACCAATGCCAGCCAATATCATTCTTCCCTCGACAACATTCCTCCTCCCACCATACTGTTTTTGCTTTTATTCACTATATACAGACGTTATATATACGTATCTGCATGTTTTGATCACCATAATGAATCTAAGTTGGAATGGTGAGTCGAAACAACAACAAGTGGCCGCCACACAACAGCCCGCCAATGCCACCTCCTTTCCTCCCTTACCTCACCTCACTTGCCAACACTCCTCCTCCTATCATACTGTTTTCTGTGGGGAGCCCCTACGGCTCCCTGGAGTTTATCGGGCTAATGTATGTTATATTAGACTGGGACATTAGCTAAGGAGTTCAGACCTACCAGGGGCCAGCGCCAGAACCTGGCCCCTTCAGAGAGGTGTCAGGGATCAATGGCCCTGGAAAACCACCTTGTGGTTGGGGTTTTTCTTATATGCCATCGACCGGGGTTAGGCACCCAGAGAGGTAGGTGTAACAAAACAAACCCCACATGGTAAAAAACTAAAACAAAAAACTGAACAGAGAGGTAGAAACTCCCTACAATCCCAAGGAAACAAGCAAACATCACACTTTACTGCCGCGCCGATCGTCTGTGCAGCCCTCCCCGCCCCGAGAGGGGGAGGGGGGAAGCCCCGGACCTACCGCGCCGGCTGCCTAGCATCAGTTCGTAAGCTAATGTCAACCGGGATTGACGCTTCTCTAGCCTCAGTTTCCTAGGCGGTGTTTGCCTTGTGTGGTGTTCACTGCCGTGTGTTGTGTTGTGCGGTGGCCAGGAGTACCTCATCAGTGCCGGGGCTGCATGTGCTTAGGGGCTTCCTTCCCTAAGCGCCCTGTGAGTACTGCCCCTGCATGATAGGGTTATCTTCCCTGGGGCATTCGGGAACCATTCTCGTAGAGGTTCTTGCTGCTATGCATTTGCCTCGCCCTTGGGGCCAGCTGGGGCTTGGGGCTCATGTTTGGCCCTGGAAAGGGACTGGTATTGTGCTGGTTAGGGTGTCAAGGTATTGTACAACCTGCCACCAAAGCGGCGACCGGTTTCTGTTGCCTCTGGAGACGGTGTACTTTTGCAGGGTTTTTCTTTTGTTTTTATTTTCAATTGCCTGGTGGGGGTCTGCTCAGTGTGGTTATAGTTCCACTGGTAGTGTTTGGTGGCCCTCTGCTAGACCCCCATGATTGTACACGTCGCAGGGGTTTTCAGTGTTGTCTTCTGGGTCTTACCAGCGGCCCTTTCTTGCTGCCTTTCCTATGGACTCTTGCTTTTCTTTAAGGGCAGAGGGCTTGGAGGACGGCTCTACCCCGGGGCCTCAGTTGCGGGTTCCCAAGGCTGTGGGGGATGCCTGCTAGCAGTTCTGAGACGGTTTGCCTCTGCCTGGGTTTTCTGCTTCTGGGCGGAGTTTTTAGCCCATCCAGTCTGCTTGCTTCCCACTTTTGCTGGCGCGTTTTCGTATCTTAAGCATTGGTCACAGCCCTCTGTTCTGGTGGCCATTTTCTTCTGCCAGTTTCCCGGTGTGGCCACCAGGGCGGCGTTGCTGTTTATTTACATGCGCCTGGGTGTGCGAGCGAGCGTCTTGGGTGAGGTTTTCCCCTTTTTCAGGGGTTTTATTCTCCTGTTGTCATTACTTTGCTTTTCTGGTGTTTTCTGCCCATTTCCTGTTCCTCTGGGAACGTTTGAATGTTGATTTTACACTGGGTTTTTCGTTTTGTCTGTTTTGGGTCTGGACCCTTGGGTTTAGGCTCAGTGTCCCTGGCTGTTATGCTTGCTCCCACACCTTGTCCCTTGGTTTTCGGTCTGTTTTGACCGTTTCCCTGGGGGTTCTGTCTGGGGGCTGTGCTTTGCCTTCTGTGGTGTATCTCTGCCGGCAAATGTGGTGGTTTGCACTTCCCCTTGTTCGATTCCAGGTTCCTTTGGGTTCTTTGGTTTCGTTCCGGAGGTTTTTTCCTCTTGGGCCCCCTTTGTGGGTTCAGGTGGCTTTGTTTCCTTGTGTGTGACCCGGTTCTGCCTACTGGAGTTCCAAGGTCTTCCTGGCTTGCAGACTTATATTTTTGGGTCTTGGTATGTGTTGTGGTCATGCTGGGACTTTGAGGTTTTGTTGTCGAGGTGGGCCTTTTGATGCAGTTTTATGCCTTCTTTGCCTGGCTGGCATGGTGCTCTCTGCTCACTGGTCGGCGGCTTGTAATTTTCATTTCACATGTATGTGTGTGTGTACACATGTACATGTACATGTGTACACTGTGTGTGTGTGCACATGTGTATGTGCATATGCATGTGTGTGTAACATACCTTGTGTGTATGTGTATATGTATATGTATGTGTATATACATAATATATATGTATATGTGTATATGTGTATGTATACTTTTTCTTCAGAAGGGGCTCTGTTCCTTTCTCTGTTGACGGGGCGCTGAGGGAGCAGCTTGCTCTGTTGACTCTCGCATGGTCCCACATTTTGTGGGCGCTTTTGGTTGTCTTCCGGCTTCTGGTGGCAGCGGTGGTCGGCGTCTCCCCCTTTGGGGGGTTCAGGGCTGGCAGGGTGGGCTTCTTCCCCTGCGCTTCGTCATGTCATCTTAGTGGGTGCGTTAGACGTGGTCGATCCGCCCCATTCTTCTGAGGTTCCCGTCTGCTCTATGCAGACATGGGCCTGTCAAATCTGCAGTTCTTCTGGACTTCTTCAGTCTGCTCCCTGGATTCTATGCCCTCATCGGAGGACTGTTGTCTCCTGTCCTGCTTCCTGCTTCTGTTGGGGCCGGGTGCCTGGATGGTGGACCTGGACCTCTAGGTCAATTCTTGGCATGTTCCTCTCCAGTTTTTTGGGACTGGCACAGTTGGTGGTGGGGCTTCAGGCTTGCCACTTTTGTTGCCTTCTCTATTTTGTAATTGGCACTTGGTGTATATACGTATCTTTATTATTGTTGCATTCATTAGTATGAATAAATTGTGTGTGTATATTTATACATACAGCTGTATATATTTATTTTTCCAACGTTATACATAATGCATGCCACTATTGTTACATCAATGCAACATATGAGCATGAAGAAATGAAATAAATCTGGAAATATTGAAAATAAATTTTAAATTCTTCTTCTGTGGTACTTCACTTCATTTCTACCAAAAATGTAACTTCTCTGGGCCACACAGCTAAATCCCAATAGGTAGAGACTTTTTACTTGGGTTTTTATGCTTCCTAAATACTAATTAACAATATTAAAAGAAAAAAATTCAGAACAAATATTGTCTTGCACATGACAGACAATGCATTGAAATTGCCTGCACCGTTATGGAGTTTAACTCGTTGTAATTCTTAAATTAATTTTACTCCCTTAATTTTATTTTCTGAATGCATTATATTCCCCAAATTAGTCTTAATCTTACTCTGTGAATTTATTATACTTCCTGAACTCATTATACTTCCTGAACTCATTATACTTCCTGAACTCATTATACTTCCTGAACTCATTACACTACCTGATTGAATTTTTCTTTCTGAATTCATTATTTTTGCTGAAACTATATTACTCCCAGATTATATTATATTCCTTAAATACATTAAACTTCTTTAAATTATTATAATCCTTGGATTTATTATGCTTCCTGAATTCCTTATACACCATGAATTCATTATACATCTTGAACTCATTATACTCCCTGAATATATTTTACTCACTTTATTCATCATAATGCTGGTACTCATTATAGTACAGTAAATGTAATTTTTTTTACAGTACTTTATTCCTGTACTAATTTACTTCACTATACTTATTACCCAAGCACTGATTATACTTTTCTCTTTTCAATGTCTTGTACTCATTACACCGCTCTGTTCATTTACTGAGTATTCTTGGCCATGAAAATCTTTCTGGATTAGCCTCCCTCCTGGTGATGAAAACAAATCCAGTTATTTGGATTGCCATTTGTTTCAATAAAATGCTAAATTCATCTTGCAGTTGGATCTAACCTTTAAATAACTAAATAAAAGAGTAATCTTGAGTTATTTACTTTAGACCTTTACATTTTGTTTCCACATTCACACAGGTGAGGCATGGCAAGAAATCATGTTGTCATGTTTACCACCGGATGCTGGCTGTGATCCACAGTCTGAAGACTACCCAAACGCTCGCACCTGTGGCTCAATGGTTGCATATCCTTACTTCATATCCTTCTACACTCTTTGTTCATTCTTGGTAAGGCTTCTTATATCTAATGAATAGCATTAAAAACTGTATTCATGCATATTGGCTGCATTTAATTTTTTGTATAAGCCTGCATCATAAAAATTTTACATAAAGCAGCAGAGAAGAGCACAAAGTGTTGAAACACTGTTGAGAAACACCTAGAAGGTACTAAACTTGACTTTGTAGATGGCACTTCAAATCTAAATTCTTTATCAAAGTCTGTTTTTATCTTGGAATTTATCTACACAGAGATTATCATAATGTGTACATATTAGTATATTCGTGCATGAATTTTGTCCAAATATGGAGTAATAAAAATAAATACTAAATTAATATCAATATTATTTGTATTTGTATTTGTATATTTGTATAAGTATGCTTAGCATACATGTCATATTCTGTATTATTAAGCTGCATTCTTTCATTCCATTTGTATGTATTGGTTTCCATTTGAAAACTGAACTGGAGTCAACAATAAACAGATTCTGGAGGCTTTTGTAACTAGATTTCACTTGTTTAACCGCCTAACTTGCTCTGGGCTATATGCATTCAACACCCACAGGCACAACAAAAAATATTTTGTCTTATAAAAGTGTTCATTTGTGTTCCCTGATTAAGGGAAAAATAATAAAAAAATCGTAGGTGGCATATTTTAGCCGCAATAGGGCGGGGAAGACTGTCAAAAAACCAGCATTGAATGTAATGAAACACCATTTTCTGGGTGAGCCCCAGAGGCTCCCTGGAGCTTATCGGGCTAATGTATGTTATGTTAGATCAGGACATTAGTTATGGAGTTCAGACCTACCAGGGACCAGCGCCAGAACCTGGCCCCTTCAGAGAGGTTTCAGGGAGCAATGGCCCTGGAAAACCCCCCTTGTGGTTGGGGTATTCTTTATCTGCCATCGACCGGGGTTTGCACCCAGAAAGGTAGGCATAACAAAACAAACCCCACATGGTATAAAACTAAAACAAATAACCGAACAGAGAGGTAGAAACTCCTTACAATCCCAAGGAAACAAGCAAACAAGCAAACATCACACTTTACTGCTACGCCGATCATCCACACAGCCCTCCCCGCCTCGAGAGGGGAAGGGGGGAGCCCCGAACCTACCGCGCCGGCTGCCTAGCATCAGTTCGTAAGCTAATGTCAACCGCGATAGATGCTTCTCTGGCCTCGGTTTCCTAGGCGGTGTTTGCCTTGTGTGGCGTTCACTGCTGTGTGTTGTGTTGTGCGGTGCCCAGGAGTACCTCATCAGTGCCAGGGCTGCATGCGCTTAGGGGCTTCCTTCCCTAAGCGCCCTGTTAGTACTGCCCCTGCGTGACAGGGTTATCTTCCCTGGGGCGTTTGGGAACCATTCCCATAGAGGTTCTTGCTGCTCGGCATTTGCCTCGCCCTTGGGGCCAGCTGGGGCTTGGGGCCCTTGTTTGGCCCAGGGTAGGGACTGGTATTGTGCTGGTTAGGGCATCAAGGTGTTGCGCGACCTGCCACCTAAGATGCGACCAGTTCCTGTTGCCTCTGGAGACGGTGTACTTTTGCTGGGGTTTTCTTTTGTTTTTATATTCATTTGCCTGGTGGGGGTCTGCCTAGTGTGGCTATAGTTCCACTGATAGTGTTTGGTGATCCTCTGCTAGACCCCCGTGATTGTACACGTCGCAGGGGTTTTCAGTGTTGTCTCTACCCCCTGATATTTTTGGGTGTTTAACCGGTTAGCAACACCTTGCCCGGGCTTCCCATAGTTGTTACCCCTACAGGCCCTGGAAACCCCTGTCGAGGCTCGGTGGACCATTGAATGTGTCTTCCCGGTTCCAACCCGTCTTGTACGGGATCGTTGGTTGCTGTGGCCTTGTCTCCAGGTGACAGTTGCCACTTTAATCTCCGTCATCTTGCCTGTTGGGTCACTGACACCTTAACCCAGAGTCTTGCGAGAGAGATTCTCTGCTTGTTCTCCAGTACTCTCCTGATGTTATTACTGTTCAGAGTACAGGTGGCATCCATGTTGCAATCTAGATTAGGTTGCTGCAACACGCTAGGTTGGTTTCCCACTCGGATGCCCCGAGGCCACCCCATTTTGGTTAGGTGCTCTTTGCCCCTTTCCCTCCCTGTTCCCGGCTCCGGACTGTCTGCGGGTTTCGGGGTCAGGGCGGCTTTAGTGTGGGTCGAGACTCGGGCAGTTTTCGGGGCTGACCACGTTAGGGTTGGGGACGGAGGTTTTAGAGCCTGTTCCTCCTTCCAAGGCTTCTGGGTCTTACCAGCAGCCCTTTCTTGCTGCCTTTCCCATGTACTCTTCCTTTTCTTTAAGGGTGGAGGGCTTGGAGGATGGCTCTGTCCCGGGGCCTCTGTTGCAGGTTCCTGGGGCTGTGGGGAATGTCTGCTAGCAGTTCTGGGGCAGTTTGCCCCTGCCTGGGCTTTCTTCTTTTAAGCGGAGTTTTTCGCCCATCCAGTCTGCTTGCTTCCCACTTTTGCTGGTGTGTTTTCGTATCTTTAGCGTCGGTCACAGCCCTCTGCTCTGGTGGCCATTTTCTTCTGCCGGTTTCCCAGCGTAGCCACCAGGGCGGTGTTGCAGTTGTTTACATGTGCCTGAGTGTGCAAGCGAGCTTCTTGGGTGAGTTTTTCACCTTTTTTCAGGGGTTTTATTCTCCTGTTGTTGTTTCTTTGCTTTTCTGGTGTTTTCTGCTCGTTTCCTGTTCCTCTGGGAACGTTTGAGTTTTGATTTTACACTGAGTTTTCCATTTTGTCTGTTTTGAGTTTGGGCCCTTGGGTTTGGGCTCAGTGTCCCTGTCTGTTATGCTTGCTCCCACACCTTGTCCCTCGGTTTTCGGTCTGTTTTGACTGTTTCCCTGGGGATTCTGTCTGGGGGCTGTGCTTTGCCTTTCTGTGGTGTATCTCCACCATTAAATGTGGTAGTTTGGGCTCCCCCTAGTTTGATTCCAGGTTCCTTTGGGTTCTTTGGTTTTGTTCCGGAGGTTTTTTCCTCTTGGGCCCCCTTTGTGGGTTCAGGGGTCTTTGTTTCCTTATGTGCGACCCGGTTCTGCCTTCTGGGGTTCCGGGTCTTCCTGGCTTGCAGACTGATCTTTTTGGGTCTTTGCACGTGTTGTGGTCGTGCTGGGACTTTGAGGTTTTGTTGTCGAGGTGGGCCTTTTGATGCAGTTTTGTGCCTTCTTCGCCTGGCCGGCGTGGTGCTCTCTGCCCACTGGTCGGCGGCTTGTAATTTTCTTTTCATGTGTATTTGTGTAATTACCTAAGTGTAGTTACAGGATGAGAGCTACCCTCGTGGTGTCCCATCTTCCCAGCACTCTTTGTCATATAACACTTTGAAACTACTGACGGTCTTATCCTCCACCACCTTCTCACCTAACTTGTTCCAATCGTCTACCACTCTGTTTGCAAAAGTGAATTTCTTATATTTCTTCAGCATCTGTGTTTAGCTAGTTTATATCTTTGACCTCTTGTTCTTAAAGTTCCAGGTCTCAGGAAATCTTCCCTATCGATTTTATCAATTCCTGTTACTATTTTGTATGTAGTGATCATATCACCTCTTTTTCTTCTGTCTTCTAGTTCTGGCATATTTAATACCTCTAACCTCTCCTCGTAGCTCTTGCCGTTCAGTTCTGGGAGCCACTTAGTAGCATGTCTTTGCACCTTTTCCAGTTTGTTGATGTGCTTCTTAAGATATGGGCACCACACAACCGCTGCATATTCTAGTTTTGGCCTAACAAAAGTTGTGAACAATTTCTTTAGTATATCGCCATCCATGTATTTAAAAGTAATTCTGAAGTTAGAAAGCGTGGCATAGGCTCCTCGCACAATATTCTTTATGTGGTTCTCAGGTTATAGTTTTCTATCTACAACCACCCCTAGATCTCTTTCTTTATCAGAATTCTTTAGAGATTTTTCACATAATATATAGGTTGTGTGAGGTCTATGTTCTCCTATTCCACATTCCATAACATGGCATTTATTAACATTAAATTCCATTTGCCAAGTGGTGCTCCAGATACTTGTTTTGTCTAGGTCATCTTGAAGGGCATGACAATCATCTAAGTTTCTTATCCTTCCTATTATCTTAGCATCATCAGCAAACATATTCATATAATTCTGTATACCAACTGGTAGATCATTTATGTAGACAATAAACATCACTGGTGCAAGAACTGAACCCTGTGGTACTCCACTTGTGACATCTCTCCAGTCCGATACATTGCCTCTGATCACTGCCCTCATTTTTCTATCAGTCAGAAAATTTTTCATCCATGTTAGAAGCTTACCTGTCACCCCTCCAATATTTTCCAGTTTCCAGAACAACCTCTTATGTGGAACTCTGTCAAAAGGCTTTTTTTTAGGTCCAGATAGATGCAGTCAACCCAACCATCTCTTTCCTGTAATATCTCTGTTGCTCGATCATAGAAACTCAGTAAATTCGACACACAGGATCTTCCAGATCGAAAACCATACTGTCTGTCTGATATTATATCATTTCTCTCCAGGTGTTCTACCCATTTAGTTTTAATTATTTTTTCCAATATTTTGACTATTACACTTGTCAATGATACCGGTCTATAATTAAGGGGGTCTTCCCTGCTTCCACTTTTGTAGATTGGAACTATGTTATCCTTTTTCCACACATCAGCTACAACTCCTGTAAACAGGGATGCCTGAAAAATCAGTTAAAGAGGAATGCTGAGCTCAGGTGCACATTCTCTCAGAACCCATGGCGAAACTCCATCTGGACCAACTGCTTTGTTCTTATTTAGCTCCTTGAGCATTTTTTCCACTTCGTCTCTAGACACCTCTATGTGCTGTATGTTGTTCTCTGGAATTCTTATTGTATCTGGTTCCCTGAAGATTTCATTTTGTACAAACACACTTTGGAACTTTTCGTTTAATGTTTCACTCATTTCCTTTTCATTTTCCGTAAATCTGTTTCCCATTTTCAACCTCTGTTTCCCATTTTTAAATTATCCTTTACCTGCAATTTGTTGTTTATGAATTTATAGAATAGACCTGGTTC